GTATTGGAGATCGGTATTGGAAATCAATAAATCATGTTAGATGTGCTTGTTGCATTTGGGTCATTGTTTCTTTCACTATCTCTCAAGTGACGGAAAAATATATGTATATATGTATATATATTCATATATATGTATATGTATATATACATATACATATATATGTGTATATGTATATGAATATTTTTTGCATTGCTTAGTTAATTGAATATTCACTCCACTTTATTTTTCATGGTAATTCTTTTTGTAGGTCTTATCTATTGTTCTAATATTTTGTCAGTCTTTGTTCTTGAGAATCAACTAAAACATGGAAATTTGCAGTTTTAGATATTAATCTGAGCTTGTGGTTAAAAACTGTGAATATAGTAAAGAAAGTAGAGGAAAAAGTACAAAATCTATTAATGTAATTTAGGGTGAAAATGTAAATGTATCAAGTTAAAAGAAACATTTTAATGTTTTTTGAATCACTTTTGAAGAATAGAAAAATGACTATTTCTATGTTGCAAAAAACAGCATAATCAGTGATGACAAGTTTTTATATAAGTAAAATTGGGTCATTTCTCTTCAAATGGATATATATATGTATATGTATACTTATATATGGATATATATATATGGATATGTATACATATATATATAGTTACTATTTTTCTATTCAATATTATATATATTCTTTGATGAAAATTACTTTTATTAGAATAATACAATGCTTACTGGTTGTTTATATTGTTTATATTTTTATATTAGTTATATTATTTATAATTTTTATATATTTCAAATGTATTTCAAAGATTTATATTTCTAATTTGTTAACAGCTATTGAAAGTACACATTCTTATCATTTCTTGAGCAGATTTTTTAAAACAATGTATTGAACATATTATCCACAAATTGTGGTTATACTAAAATTTACTGGCAAATACTACATTTTAACAGTTCAAGAAATACTCATTAACAAGAAATGTTAGTACAGTTGAATCCGGCATATTTATTTGTTACATATGAGACTAATCAACTTGTTCAGAGTAGCCCCAGGAGAGAATTTTTCAGAAGGCCTAAAAAAGCAGTAAGTTAAAAAAAATTGAAAACTTGTTTTGGAGCAGGATGGGCTTTAGTAAATTCTAGTCATCAACAAGGAAGAAAATTTCCAGATGAACATGATATAAAAATTTAATTTGTTCAGATTTTTTTTGTATATAGCATACATGTAGATATGGTGACCACTCAATACAAAAAAAAAAAAAAAAAATCAGTGAGCTAGAGTACTTTTAGGAAAGACCGATTGGTATTGTGAGACATAGTAGCTATTAAGAGTCACTAAACTGAGCAATGGTGACACCCCAATTTTATGGCTCTTCAAGCAGTCAGTTGCACAGTGAACCTAGGAGTCTGAGCTGGAAGCTGATAAGAGAGTATCCGTTAGAAGTAAAGATCAGCCTTGACGAGCTGCCAGCTGAAGTCTTTGGACAAAAGAAAAAAAAGCTTCTGAAACCACTTTGAAGGACTGTTCATCAAGGGTCTTAAACAGAGTGAACATAGGTGGGAAACCTATTGTCCAGAGTCAACAGAAAGTACAGTCAATTCTCTATGTCCTAGAGGGTTCAGGTTGGATTTTCTGAGGGTGACACAGATCTGTCATTCACCTAGAACTTCTCAAGTTTATAGCTTTCTGTTTCGACAGTTTTGATTTTAGGAAGTGTTTCAGCTTAGATTCAGTCTAAAATTTTATTCGTTTGTTTGCTAAAAGACCTAAAGACAACCTGAGATACATACTTTTAAGCAAAATTACTTTAATAAGTGTCATCCAGTTTTTGGTATTTCTCAGCAATTTTTAGTGTGTTGCATTCTTACCACGTCATTTCTCAAGTACCTGTCACTCCTTGCAAATTACAGAAGCTCCAACTAAACTTTGTAGTTTGTGTATGTTACAAAATCTGTTAGAGCATACCCTATCTTTATATTATTTTGATGATTCTTTTTTTCAGAATGGGCTAACATTGTGATTTACTAACCTAGAAACTGCAGGAAATTCCTTAACAACTTGCTGGTTCTATATTCTGCTGTTTCT